GTGCACTAAATAAGACAGGAACTAGGCAACAGGGGAAGAGGGCTTATTAAAAATAGGTGGTCTTCACAAGTACAAATTATTCCTTTCTAAAACACCTCAAGCTGTGAGGAAAAAAAAGCCAACAGGGTACAATCCCCAGTCTCTGAAGATAATTATTGTTGTGCCATGTTAAAAAGAAATGTTGTATCACATATTATACTGTATTTTAGTCCCAAAACTCTACATCAGTGGGACTTTTGTCATAACAAAATCTTTGTATGACAGGCTATGCTTAAGTCAGAATTTTGAGGGAAAAATTTTAAACTTTAGGTGCAAATGAGGGAATTCAGGTTCATTTGGGGTGAAGATAAAAACCCTTGCCTTATAAACCAAATTAATTATGTCTGTACTGAAACATCATCCATGGGTCTCATTTAATAAGCCAAGTCTCCTTCTTGGCACAGAGAGAAAAAGGAGAAAATAATTACATCCTGAATTTTATACAGACTAAGCTGATGTTTAGGTTTGAGGAGGAAGGTTAAACCAGCATTCATAGCACATTTCAGTTGCTGTAATTTTAGGTTAAAAGACAAATTCCTATATTTGATACAGGTCAAGGCTTTATTAAGTATTGAGATTAGTGTACTTTGTAAATCAGATTATGGATCATACTGAAAGCAGTGAATTTTCCAGGTTTATCTAACCTGCAAGGATTCTCCAAATGGTGGAGGGAGTTTGCTAAGTGAATAAAGTCTCTTAATTGTACCAGAAGTTAATGAGAAAATACAGGAGTGAAGAAGGGGGAAACAAATATGGAACTCTGGCAGTTTTACTGTATTTTTTTTTTTAGTTGGTGTAGAAAAAGGTCCTGCAGACAACAAGAACATCTGCCTTGCAGAAAGCCAGTCACTACATGATTTACTCCAGTGAAATCCACATAAAAACAAAGCTCTAAGAAGGAATGACCTGAGAATAACTACCACATGCCCATGTCCGACAGGGCTATTTACTTTACCAAGGGCTTACACAATGTAGTTCTCAAATATCTCCAATCTATAAGTCTGCATTCTGTGCCAAGAGCCAAACGTGAACAGCTAGTCGAGTCATAACATCTTGTGTATAATTTGGTATCTACAGAAAGGCAGAAAGGAGAGTTTCTTTAGAAAGTACATTGACTCATAAAGCAAGCCAGATTTTGAAACAGTAGGCGCTTGAAGAGGGACACAAACCAGATGGTAATTCAGGGTGACAAAATGTGGCAATACAAACCATTCACTGCTTAAGTGTAACAGGAAGTGAAGATCTGAGATTTATCTTGGATAAATCCATTCATACATAGCGTTAAAGCCTGTAGAAAAATGTTGAACTTGCAAACTCGTAAGGAATGGGCAAGGAGCATAGTCAGCCTTTTGCATCATTATTGCATTGTTACTAAGATTACAGTTTTTAAAAAGTTTCTGAAGGAGGCAGAAGATTAATCTGAAACAATAACTTGAGTTCAACTACAGAAGGAATTTAGGTGTTAACATTACCTGGATAGATAAGCAAAATGCCCTGTAGCTGAAATACTGCCACACTGGAAGCACTGGTTTGACTGCAAGCCATGGAGATATCGTCAAGTCTTCCAAGTAACATGTATCTTTGGAGAACAATGACGGGGCTGACACGGGGACGAAAGTTTCCTTGATTTTTCTTAAACATTTATTGTCTGAACCAATGTAGCATTACTGTTCGCCATTCTCATTTGCAAAGCTGCTTTATTAAAAACACCAGTTCTGAGCTAGTTTAAAAGGAAGTATCAGAGAGACCTGACTAGTGTACTTGTTCAAAAGGGATAGATGGGAAAACTCTCCAAAGCAGATGCAAGTATAGGGAAGAATAGCTAAAAAAGTTTGATAATATTTAACACTAATACAAGGGAACGGATTCCTAGAAGATATCACCTGTACAAGTATAATGGGAACAAAAATAACAACACAGAAATCACTTCTTGGAACATCCTCAGCATAATACATAACAGAACAAAGCACCATTGTTCCAAAAAAAAAAAAAAATCAAATAATTACTTTGTGTGCTTTGTAAATATGGCTTTACAAAGTTCAGACATCAATTAAGCAATTTATGAAAAATATTAATTGTATTCTAGGATACTATAAAGGTAAAACTGATCAGTGATTAACATAAGTAAAAAGTTCATTGTAGCATGTTCTCATTTTTATAACTACTCTTTATTAGGAAAGAAACTAATGTAAGTTCATTCTTTCTTTCAATGTCCCTACTCCTATCAATTTTTTTAACCTGTTTCTAATTTCAACCAGTTGCCAAAGATATACAAGCTCTTAAAAAGTTACATACAAATAAATGGACAAGTCCAGGAGCCCTTCTAACTTGTCCCTACTTTCCCCTTAAAAAAAGCTGTAGCATTAATTCAGGTTTTAGACACCATCAGGTGATAAACACAACCAGTGCCGAAGGCATAATAAAAGTACTTTATTATACACCAGAGAACCTAACCACAAGCTATAAATCTGTGAATCCAGACTTTACTACCATCATTGCAGGGGGGAAAGGCTTAGTTGCTTCAGATGGTTTTCTGTCAAGTCTACTGCCCGATAAGGGAGAGAACCTACATTAGCTGGTTGCTTGCTAGTCCAGTTCCAGCACTACTCCAGTATCTATCTAAGCCTCAATTTCACTGTAATCGTGAAGTCACCGAGGAACATTCCATCTGTACACAGGAGCTATGCTGATGTCAGCTGTTCTTCATTTACTGTTACATACTTCAGTCTGATTTCCTCTCTCCATTGTTTATACACACAAAGATTTTGCAAATTAATTTTTCATGCTTTCTCATCTAACAGAAAGTACTTCCAGACACCAGGAAAATGTTTTTTTAAAAAATATACCAAATTTTACTATTCTGAAAAGTTACAAATGCCTACCAGCAGCAGGTATGCGAAAATTCCTCTGAAACACTCAAACAGACAAGTGTGCTTTAATATGGGCTCTAAAGTAATTCCATTTGGTGAATAAACCTCAATTCAAGTCAGGACAAAGTTAAATTTTGGGGAAATCTTTATAAATCACATTTCTATTTTTGAAAGTCAATTATGGTCACATTAAATCCAATTATAACCATAAAAGTTTTGTTATTTATTCAAAAGCCATTTACTTCAGAATTACAGAATTTACCTGAATTTGGTAAGAGGAGGTCAGATACTGTTAACGTTGAAATTGTTGAAGTAGTTACTGATAAGAAAATCACCCCAAGCCACATGCCCCTCTAACTGTTTGTGCAATCTGCTACAATCCTCCATAAGGATAAAAAATGTTATTTTGCCCCTGTAAAAGTGATACCCATTTGTGCAAGGTATGATTTCTTCACTTACTGTTCTGTAACAGTAGCCTAAAACCCACGCATATTCCTGGCCTCCATTTCATCAGTACACGGAAAAAAGCAAGAAACTTCAGTTTCTACCAGGGAGAGAGCAAAGGAAAGCCCCTCATCTGAGTGCAGATCAAGGAAATGAAACAACATGATAAAGCACAGTTCAGGAGAACAGTACATTTATATTCTTTTGAAAAAATTTACAAGTGATCAGGTAGTGTCACTGTCATCAGCAAAAGAATCACAAACTTAATATGGTCTTCAAAACTATTTTTTGAATAGTTAATTCATCATGCCTTCCATGACATTTAGACAACCCAATCTGATTGGCAAAACCCAACAATTCCTGCAACAACCCATCAACTCACCTCATGTTGCTGACATCAACTTACAGACCTGTCTTAGGAGCCGTGTAGCCGCCAATTCTTCATAAAGTCCATGCAACAAACAAAACTGGAAGGGTTCAATCATTTCTTACCACTGCTTTCAGAAAATGCCTTTTTCCAGCCTTCTATTAGAAACACTTTTTCTGAACTGACCCCTAAATCACAGTCATTCTTTCAAGGATCAGGGATTCTCTCAGGTCTGGTAAACCAAGGTATGAATCTCCTTTCCTCAATTAAAAATAAGATCAGAAAAAAATATTTTTGTCACTGCTACCTGCTCAAATCCCAGTGTCCTACAAACAGGACTGAAAGAATAAAATCCAACTTCGAGCACACCACTGCTAATGAAACCAGCCTGGCTTTCAGAAACTCATAGAAAATTGTTGATATTTTGTTACCACCTCCCTTCCTATAAAGCAAGGGGACAGCAACACCTAGAACCTACACTCCTTAGTCTCATTTTTTTTGTTTATAAAAATCAACATAATTTGCTGGTTTACAAAAGGAATACTTTTTGATACATGTCCCTTCCTGAAACTAAACTTACAAAGCATCTCTCACACAAATGACAAGTTCAACTCTGGTTGAAGTAGCAACATCAGTGAGATTTCCCCCCAAATTTCCTGATCTTTACAAAATGCTTCCTCACTCTCACAGCATCCTGTAACAGAGAAAGAGCTGCAGCATCAGCCACAGAGGGTGGACAGAAGGTGAAAAGAGGAAAGCAAAACTTTCAGGTTAAACAAGATAGGTCTTCTAGGATAGGAAAAAAAGAGTTGTCAAAAAACAGGATTTTATTGACTGAATCTGAGGAGGAGCTGGCATCTGGTCAAGAAGATATTAAGGATCACATGAAGTGAGTTAGGTAGCTCAAATGCTGAAGGAAATCTTAAAGAGAAAAGAAAGAGGAAAAACAGAAACACTACAAGATTATTTTGTGAAATTCTGTTAGTACCGGGGATTAAAAACCTCTAAAACTGTACAGTGTTTTTCCATGTTTGCTGGCATTCTGGAGTTTATCCAAAGAGTCACTTAATACTCATACAATTATGTTAAGTACAATATAAACAAGAAGAAAATTGTTTTAGACATCTTTATTATTTAATAACACAAAGGCAGGAGTTATTGTTCTAAAGATGTATCAAGAACCCAGGATTCCAGCTGTAAAACTCAGAGCATGACAGTAACATACTAACACAATGGTGATAGACAGGAAATATCAAAATACTAACTGTAGAATAGCAAGAGGCCTTTATGTTTGGTTTTTGCATTTGTTTTGGCGTGTTTGTTGGGTTTTTTCCCCCCTAATTTTGATGGGAAAGAGTAAAGTCATTTTAGCAACTGAGACAGTAACGTGAGAAACAGTTCTCAGTGCCCCTGTTTTACTTTACTGTAGGTATTCAGCATTCGTAAGTATTTGATGGTCCTCAATTTATCTTCTGCTACAGAACAAAATGACCAAAAACTGTGGCTGAGGTAAGTACATCTATTAAGCATAAAAGGTATCAGACCTTAATTGGACTAGCAGTTTGAAAAACAGGTATTTTCAACTAAAAGCACTGTTGGCACAGATCTCTAGCCACAGATGTTAGTATTCATTTCTGAGACTCACAGATGTTCAGCTTCTGACTTCTAGATTACTCCTGTTCAGCATACAATTCATGTCTGTACCTGTAACAACTACTCAATTTTAATTTCATCACATACACATTTCCACATATTATAAGAAAATAGAATTGAATTTGATACATTAAACTGATTTCTTTTTAAACTTCAAAGTTCACAAGTGTTACTGTGGTTGCATAGTTAAACACATGCATCAGACTATCAGTTTCCAAAAATACCATGTTATAAATTCAGCACTTTACTTGATAACCACAGAAGCAGCAAGACAAAAGAAGTTTGATATTCACAATAAAAAAAAAATATTAAAAAGCCATCCAACAGAAAGCTAAATTTCAGAAAGTTCAGTGAAAATGGCTCACTACATAAGTATGTACTTAAACAGCACCATCTGAACAATTATTTTTAGAATGTACTAGGACTGCAATGCATTCCAGCATAGTAAGAAGTCACAACTGCCATGAGGCAGTAGCCTCAGGGCTATATTAAGACTATTCAACAATTTAAATAAGCTAGTGAATATAACAAAAGATCTAGGCATTAGTTAGAAAGCAATGTTTTGTGGTAACTGATTTAAGAAATTAATTGGATTCAAGCACAAGCATCTGACTACTTTACTCCAATTGCCAGAAGCAGAAAACAGAAAAATAAAAGTGCTCTTTACCTACTGCCAGAGGGTCTAGTTCACACTCCTGCCACCCATTCTCACACTCAACTCAAGAATAAAACTTTCCCCTTCCCTAATCTAAACATTAAAAGTCAGTCCTATTCTTCAAAACTAATTTCCTATAGTGAGAACAACAAAAGTACATGGGCATGTGCATGTGTTGTTCACTACTGCCAAACATAAGGTTTTTATTTGAGATCTCCCAAGATATTTAATTAAGTTCAGCTACAGAATACCTTAGGGAGAAACAACTGAAAGCTTTCTGCTTTCTAACAAATAACTTCTCACTCTTAAAGCAAAAGTTAAGTTTTTTCCACTTTCATAGCTCTCAACACTTCCAACATACCTTTTTGCAACATAAAACCACAGGAAACCTCAAAAGATGCACTACTTCCCATTTTGCCCATTGTGACATTTTGGCTTAAATTTATTTTTAAGTAGACCTGGAGAGGTAGAAGCCTAATTAAACAGCATTTTCAAAAGAAGCTTTATTAATATTATTTCTAATCATTTTAATGTAAGTAGAAAAAGTATATTTACAAATATAACAGTCTTAACCACAGCAGAACCCTGTTTCACAGATTCACGTGGCATCTCCTATGGAAGGGACAGCAAGATCCGATCACATTATTAGACCTGTAAACTCTTAATCTTGGATTTACTGACTTATCTTCAGATAGGAAGATGCCAGGTTTAGGTTTTATAAAAGTCATCTATATGACACTGTAACAAAAGGAACGTTTCCTAAAGAACAATGCATTAGAAGTAACTTTCTGCCTAGGCCTCCATTTCTAGGGTGGCTCTGTGTGATGGAAAAAGGAGTCATTTCCCATTTTTGTCAGGAGATCCTGCTTAAGGAAGGCCAAGATCCAAACCCAGTCATCTTCCAGCAACATAAATGGCTGTCAAGATCTTCTGCTGAAGGCTTGTGATGCAGTATAAAGGTTAGAAGGTGTCCTGAAGCAATTTGGAGGGAATGAAGAGGGAGAGAAGAGTCACAAGATGTACCAAAGTAATAATGCACGTAACATAGTTCCAAATGACTTCAACTCAGCACCAAAGAGGAACTGGTAAAATCTCCTTCGAATTTCATTGCCAGTTTTCAAGTGATTCCTTTTGCTAAAAATCAAAAGGGAATTTAGAATAAACTTCCTGTGCCAGCAACGACATAGCTGGAAAAAAAAAAGGTCTGACTGTGGGCTACTGATGTTTGCAAGGAAGAGGTTGTCGCTCGGCACAGCATGAAGCGAGAAAAGCAGAATTTACCTGAGCTGATTCCCTTTCTTTGGGCCTGAGGGATTGCTGATCATGTGGGTTAGCAGCATATCCCCTTAAATCAGAGTATTCCAGTCTCTTTCCTTCCCATGGACAAAGGAACAGGATTTTACAAACCCAGCAGCCACAGGCTCCTCAAAAGGAAGAATGTATTTACACATTTAGAACTGGGGAACTTCTTCAGTGCTGGGAATTCAGTCAGATTTCAAACTGATTGGGCAGCTTCCACCTTACAGCACATTCAAACCTAGCACTAGTGTAAAGAGACAGGGAGGAGACGAAAATTGCGTGGTTATGGGGCCATACACAATCACTGGCCTTATCTTGGCCCCAGCCACCAGTTTCTACTTGATGTAGTTTCCTGTCTAGAGAAGGGTCACACCAAGAATGTCATTAGTGCTTCACAGAACTGAAGTACAAATATGACCCATGGACAGGAAGCTTATACAGAGGCATAAAGAACATTCTTTCCAAGTGCTCAGAGCATTTTTTCTCCTCTCTCTCTCCCCCACACTTTTTCTTTATGCTGCTCACATTCTTTCCCTCTCTCAGCCTAGAGAAGTGGAAGGCAACATCAACAAAAAAATGCACAGAGAAACACCATAAAGTCCATCCTTCACACCTGAGCGGATGGCAGTTCAAAGGGGCCCTACCTACCTGCAACCCTGTTGTTTGCTTCAAGAACTCTGTTTGCCCAAGGAAAAAGAGACGAGCAAATCCTGGAAGCAGATCCTTCCCCAAAGGAAGTTTCTTTCTGAGTCTGCAACCTGGAGATTTTGCTTGAGACTCAGTCCTCTGAGCGGATTCTTTCTTCAAACTCTCACACTGGTTCTTTACTTTTGTGGGCAGCTGGAAAAAGAATGAAGCCGTAGGCTGAGGCAGGGACTCCATACTTCCAGGATAGGGAGGCAGAAGGACTGGAGGGGAAGGAAAAGTGCTAGTTGGTAACTTCTTGGATAATGACCTGCATTTCCTCATTTTCTGCCACACAGAGACATACACATAGTCACTGCAATAGGGGAGGATGACAAGAGATGGGTACTAGACATGCAGTGTTTTCATGCTCTGATGCCAAAAAAACCCCAAACCCATAGTGTTGAGCTGTGAACTTTCAAGACTTTTAAGACATCTACCAACAGATGAGATCAATCATAAGATGTTTTGTCCAGAAAGTTCTCTCAGTTTGTTGCAAGTAGATGTAGGTGGGGGTGAAAAAAAATTTAAGTGCTCATTTCTTGGAAAAAAATCCAAATCTCTCCTCTGTTCACTTGCTCTCAAATGAATTAAAAATGGCATCTATTGCAATGCAGTGAACGTCTCCCCATAATCTCTTCAAGAAAAAAATCATCATACTTACCTGAATGTTTCCCTCACCAATGACTTCCTAACACCACTCCCAACTCCTCTGTAAAGGCCTTACTCCAATCTCAAGTCTTCTACTTTATTTGCAAAGTCAGGTTGATCTAACACTGACAGCAGTTTAATGCTGCTAAGACAAACTCATATTTAACCCAGGCACATGATGATTGCTGTGGAAGCTAAGAACCTACCCAAGTTCTGGATTTCTAAAATATTCCTCTTTTTCCCTGAAAACCTAGATGTCCTAGGACTTAACTGTCATTACTTGAACGACAAAAATATAATGCATAGGAGAGCTGAAATTTTCTTCACAAATACTGAAAGCTGCTAAGACTCCTGTGAAATTTTATCAGTTTCATGGAGCCAATATACAACAAAATAGAACCAGAAGTCACTGGACTGAAAACAGTTATAAGCACAGCTGCTCACGTATGCATTTACTGGTTGTTATCCATTACAGTACCTTCTGCACAACAGCACAGTGTATGGCATTTGCATGTAGGGCAGCCACTGAGCTGTGTGCCTCAGATGAGGCACCATCATTTTACCTAGAGTGCTCTTCTTTGCTCTTAAGACACCAGGTAGAGTATGATCCAATAGTTAACCAAGAAGGTACATTACTCATTATGTTTGATGAAATTTCACTTAATTCATTTTGGGGCAATTGGTGGTGTTTCTTGATCCTCTCCTTTAGAGCACACACCTAAACAAAATAGCTTCATATGGTTAGGTACCTCACATGTTCTTCAATTACAAGTTTCCCCTGTTCAAAGAAGCTTTCTTTCATTGTGCTTAAAATAATACAAGAAGATGGGGAAAGAAATGCTAGGTTTTGTCATTAAAACCACAGCAATTTTTGCAGTTTGAGGAGCATACAGGATTTTTTTTTTCTTTTAAAGTGACAGATAAAGTCATCAAGGACAGACCATGATATGTTACAGTAATTAAAACAGAAAAATCAACAAACTGCTTCCAGAGAAACTGCTTGTGCATGCAGAAGGATACTCTACTTCTTGGTTCCTCTGAGGACACTGAATATGGTGATGGTATCTCAATCTAAGGTAAGAGGTCTTATTCTAAATAGTTTCACATAAATAATAGGATTAGTTGTTTCTGAGTGCAATTTCATGACTTCTCAACAACATGAGACCAAGATGTGTTCCTATACCTTTTCATTTGACAAGCCACTGCTTTTTTGATTATTTCAGACCATCTTTCAAAGATTAGAGAGTCAGGTTCAGTCTTTTCATCCCATATGCGTGTTTTTGTAAAAGGAGGTCTTCCTGTTAGGAAACAATAACTGATGAACACACACATAAATGTACTTGGCCAAGAGATGTCTCCAGGTTGATGTTTGTACTCCCTTCTTCCAGTAAAGGAGAGGACACAAGATAAAAAGGAAAGAGAAAATGCAATAAACAGAACATGTTGAATCCAAGTTTTTACTGCTCTGTATTTGCTGGTTAAGAGAAATGTCATGAAAGGACAATAGCAGTAAAAGCACATTTCTTCTAAAAGACTCTTGTGAATAGAATGTTCTTTTTAACCAGATAACTTGAGAAGTCCCTGAGATTCAAGGTATTGCAAGTTGCTAATACTAATTACTTACAAGTCATAATTACAATGCCATGCACAGCACTACAGGCTCAATTTCTGATGATGCATTGAAGCTTACTAATACTTCTGAAGTCAATACTCCTTTCCAGTTCAGAAGGTATCAGAGCAAATCAGTTCAGATGAAGCAGCATGGTTTCTTTCAAACAAGAATCTGCCTAGGGCCCCTGTGAGAAAACCTCCTTCACAGCGGAAGATGCTGCTCACTGGAAAAAGACCCCAAATAGCCTTCAATATACTAAACTGTATGAGATCAGGAGCGTAGAAGAGAGGAGTATTTGGTCTTATTTGAGTCATGTCTCTTCGTAAGCAGAAGAGACAAAGATCCAATGTGAAATATAAGGAAAGAAAAAAGGTATTATGAGGATTTCATCTATTGGTGTTTTCCTTACAGAAACAGATTAACAGTTTCTGGAAGATCAATCTGAAGCATGCTGTTAGGAATGACTTGTTTTTAAATTCCTCTTCTTACATCAAGGTCATGGTATCTCTCCAAGAAAAGGAGAATATTTTAATTTTTAATCTTTTGTACATAATTTTTCCTTTGAACAGACTTGTCTTGAACTGTAAAGAATAAACAAGGTTGGTAACTTCTGTGTTCTAGCTATCAAAACCAGTAGCCTGATTGATTCTTACATACATGTACGTATTACAGGCTGAAACAAAATCTTCCTGTATTTTGAGATAAGAAATGTTAATGAATACTCCTTTGCTCTTCTGAAGATTTAAAAGAACAAAAAAAAGAGGTCTGGAAAAGAGCATAGAAAGTACCTGAATCCCTCCTACAGGAATTTTGGGGAAAGTTTTTTTGTTGCCTCACATCAATCACCAGAAGCAATTCATGCTACCAAGCTGAGATGTTAAACTAGCTTAAGCAGCTGAATATCCAACAGTTCTTCTCAGTCACCGTATTGTCAAGTTTGCTGATTTACGTCAAGAGCAGGCTCTGATGGGATTCTTTTTAGCTGGAGCAGGAAGAATTTATGGTTGTGATGACACAAGAACAAACATGTCGATGATGTTCAGATACAGACAAAGTCAGGAAAGGCAATGGTAGTTCTGTTTGTGAGCATGCGGAAGACAGTAAGGAATCCTATAATCAATATTCTCATCTCCTTTGGGCAAAGAAAGGAATCTCTGCAATGCCTTTCCATAGTGACTTGACTGTTGATAAACACTCCCGGGATGAAAACTCCCTTTAGTGCTTTCTTCCACCTTCCTTCTCTACGGGGCATGTTTCACGGCCAATTCATGAGTGAAGACTAATCTCTGTTTTTCCGCATCAGTGAGCAGAAGCTCAATAGTCAAGAAAGGAAAAGTTCAAATAATTGTGAGTAAATTCTACAGAATATCATCTGCAAAACAAGCAAAAAATTGAATCTCCATATTTGGTAAATGGTATAGAATATAAGCAACAATACTTTTTTATTTCTAATACTGCAGCTCCAACAACTGCAGTATCCAAGTGAAATAACATGGAAACAAAACACAAATTGACATACCTGATTCAAGTTACCTGCAGTCAGATCAAATACTTCTCAACCTTCAAATCAAAATTTTAAAGCAAGATGCAACTTTTTTAGATTTAAGGTGCAACTAGCCACAAGGACTTCTTGCAATTCTTAAAATGAAACTTAGTCTAGGTTAAGTAGTTATTGTCCTGCTGCCATTAATCATACCTCTAGAAATATGTGCAGACTGCAAACACACCGCAGAATCTATGCGCCACCATCCAGTTGAACTGTTATTCAAAATAAATATTAGAAGAACAGCACATTTTAGTAAAACATCTTTCACCTGGAAACTAGCACCAACATAGCATGTGTATTAAAGTATCAACAAGAGTGATATAAGGCTGTTTAAATTGCAAGCTACTGACACTAAGAAAAACCGCTGGTTTTCCAAAACTTCTGGGTTGTTGTTGTTTCGTTTTGGGGTTTTTTTGGGGGGGAGAAGATTTGATTGGAGAGAGGGGTAGAAGTCATTGAACATAATAACAACTATACTGGATAATGTTATCCAGTCCCAAGATGGAGAAAAGGCAGCAAAACCATTGGTCAAAGTGTTGATTTTGAAAGATTGTCATGCAACCCTTCAGTCAAAGGTAAACGTGCCAACAAACAGAACAGTAGGAATCTTGACTTTCTAAATTTCAGAATGTGTTTTAAAGCATCAGGCCTCTCTCCATAAATGTTTCATGCTCAACTTCTTTAAAGGCCTACTAAAAGCCAGAGGGCCACAGCACTGTCTATTTTATCAGACAAGGCATCAGACAATACCTACTCGAGACTGGCATAGGTACCAATCCCTCAACGACCCTTCCTACTGCCAGTTTAGGAAAGGCAAAAAGCTATGGCTTTTCTGAACTCAGCATGACAAAGAATTCTGAAATTATATATAGCTATCGCAGCAACACATAACTTGAGAAACACAGCCAGTATTTCTTGGCACATATACAACAGCAGGAAAACACTAGAGGTATAAAATTGAATGATTAGTTGATTATAGAAAATACTACCTTGTAAAAATAATTCCCATTAATAGATGCATCAATTTTATACAATTAAAGAAATGGGTATTTGCTAAACAATGTTATAATTATTCTGCCCTTTTAAAAGCTGTTTAGATTGCAAGAATATTTTTAAATATCTTCATTAACAAGCTTTTTATTTCTTGTCAGCTTTTGTGCCAAGTACAGTTGAGAGAAAACCTTTTTTGGCCTAACTAAGCCATGTTTTAAATCAGATTAACGGACTTCACTGGCACCAACATACATTTCTGTCATAAAAACAGACCTTCTTTCAGTCTTAGAGAAATTCTGTGCTTCTGGGTAGAGTGCATGAGCCAATATTTAAAAAAAAAAAAAAAAAATCCAGACAACTTTTTTTTAAGACATCATATGATGCCTATTTGTTCACTTTTTCTGCTTAAGAAAGCTAACTGTAGCAGTAAAGGTTACAGTATTTATGTATACCTTGAACTTGGAAAAAAAATCACATAAAACTTGTAGTTTCTTGTATGAACAGTGCCTTTGTACTTTACTTTGTAGTTCTTAATACATGGCTAGTTTAATTTAATTTGATTCCAATTACAAGCAATTAGGTTACACAAATTTCTTAAACAATTTCTTTTTTTTTAAGCACCACTTTTCTTACTGAGTTCTCAATCTTCACGTAATTCCTACACTTCTCTGGTCAAAGTCTTTCAGACTGTGTATCTGCAGAACCTGGAAGTGGAAATACCACACATAAGGAATGTTAAGAGGAGTTATTCCAGTACTGTTCAACAGCCACACCACACCAGATGCCCTAATTTTATGGGGTTTTGGGTGGAGGTAGGGTGAGGTCTAATCTGAATCTTCAGATGAGAATAGCTCAAGGCTTTTCCCTGTAGCTGTTGACCCTTGATCATCTCCTCCATGACTTTCCTCTGGTGTTTGGGACCTCTGGGAACTCAAATACAGCAAAAAAGCCCCTCTCGTGCAATTATTTACTCCAACATATATATATATTTAATAGATTAATATTAACAAAGGGCAATATGGACACACTGGTAAATAAAAGCTAAACAAAGGACCTACTTTTTTTAAAGTCACTGGTTTCACGAATTTTAATTTTGGAAAGTACTCAAAACTTGCATTTCAGATTTGAGCACGTACTAGGTTACTTTCCATACCAAATCCTAATTTCTACAAAGGGTCTAGAGTTTATAAATTTAGTATGCACTCTGACCAACGGGCTTGATCCTTTCCTCATTTTCAGTAGCAGTAAGAACTCTACAGACAAAACTGGAATGAATTTTCTAGTAACTGTTAACTGCTAAGACAGAGTGATGTCAAATGCTGTGTTAGTTCTTCAGCATTAAGAAGTTTGTGATGCAACTGAGGCTTATTTTTGTCTAGCATGAGTTGTTGAGACTGGAGACAAACTGATTTAGTTATGACTTGCAAGTGATGTGCAAGCACACCATAACAGCTCTGCAATATACAGTCTGACTCTTAGGTTCAAGATACAAGTTTAAAAAGTCTCAGTGCAGTCAGTGATGTTTTAGATCAGAATTACACTTTTATTTTTACCTAGTATGTGTTAACAGTACACGAAAAAAGCATTCTAGATCATCTTGTACTGCTACCACCATACAAAACATGCTGTCCTTCATTAGCTAATTAAATGTTTTCTGAAGAATTGCTGACTTAACTTTTCCTTATTGGACTAGCGCTTCAAATTCACCCAAATTTCAGTATTAAATAAGACCACCACAAGTTTTATTTTAAAAACGTTTATCAGTCAGCTGAGGTAAAGGCCATTTGAAATGTATCATTTTGCTCTGCTTAAGTGAAAACTGTTTGCATTGAGTTGTCCCTTTATCTTCCCTCCATGCAAGCACCTCCACACCTACGTGCTTTGATCAGCCAGAACTCCCAGCTTCTGCACTAGACACGATTAACTTTGGCAGTGCCTCTTCACAGGCATACCCGTGTGCAGTGTTTGACTGTCATTCTGTACCTGTTGAAATATTAGTATTTGGTTTAGGCTGTGTGCAAGAACAAAAAAACAGTATCAAAAGTCACACATAAAAGAATACATACAAAACCACAAAAAGACTATTCCTAGCCTAGGTTTATTATTTTCACAAAATTATTCAGAACAGGGAAAAAGACAAGACATCAAACATCTGTACCAAAATAGAAACTTACCCCACTGACTGATCTGTGTTGGAGAGTGTCTAACCATACACTGAATGTCACAGGACCCTTTTTCCTTCACTTGAGTCAAGATTTCATTGACAAAAATAACCACAATCCAGGGCAGATAAAAAATAGCTTCCCACGCACTCAGGCAAACACACAAGACACTACCATAGAATCATTACGGCTGGAAAAGACTTATGAATTCTCTTGAAAAAAACACCACCACTTGGATCATTACTGAACATTTCTGTATATGATTGGTATCTACAACGTGCATAGTTTATTTTGAAGTAAGACAACATACAACAGATATATTCTTGACATGACTCTTTTACCATGAAATTAGTTGCCTGATCTGATTTCTGCACCAAATAAATGTAAAGGTCAGTGTTTCCTCAGAAGAGTTGTTATATTTAATAAAACATTTCTGCCTGTAAATTCCTAAGATCAACTCTCTTATTAAAGTCCAACATGTCTCCTTTCCTTCTGTTTTCTTTTAAAGGCGAGATTTGAAAATTAGTTTGCAGCAGAACTGAAGAGATCTGTACCTAAAGTTATCCGGTTTTAGCTGTATATTATATGCAAAGTATTGTATTTTCTACTAAATAGCTTTTTAGCCACCAAAAAAAAATTAAAAAAAAACCTCACAAACATTCCATGCTGCTGTTACTTCTACATACTCTTAAATTAAGTCAAACTCCATCTTGCAGTTTACCAAAATGTACAAAAAGGAAACCACAGTGCATGTGACAAAGGTTGACACAGCCAACATAAAGAAAACTGCAGAGATGCCTAGTAAAGTCCTTAATTGTTGGCACATGTTCAAAATCCATTCTCTAGAGGTTGTAGTCAAGCATTACATTCTATAGAATGCAACTGAGAGTGAGTCCGTATTTTTTAAGTGTAGTTACTCTTCCAAACAGCTATTTCCCCAAGTTTAAAATGATTCTTAATTCATAGTTTAGTATCTGCATAACTGAAATCCCCACAAGCATTTAGCAAACTAGGCCAGAGTTTAATACTGCGTAGCTGCGTTTTTGCTCCTCCTTTTTTTGATGGCCAAGCATACTATTACTTCATACATATAATTTTACACATGCACATCAAGTCATTTTCTACTCTTTTATTTCTTAATTGTTTTTATTGTAGACTTCAGCCCAACAGAAACACAACTGCCATCAAGATGTGACTTACTGTAACAGTCTGCTACTCCTAGCTGGGCGATGTTTGAATATCCTTCTTCCAAGTCATCAGAGAATTTCCATTTACCAGTCAAGTTCTTTCATTCTATTTTATAAAATAAAGCATGCATATATATCTAAGCAGCCTTCATAACAGAAGAATCATATATGGTACCCAAAAATATGCATTCTAATGGTACTTGGAATAGGCAACTGCACAACTTTGTTGAAGAGAAGCTATAGAAGTATTTGGGTGAGCACACAACGTCACACTTCAGTACAGCATTAAGCTTTTTTTTCCCCCCAGATGAATTAAATGCAGATTTCAGAATCACAGCATATTCAACCTATGCTTTTCTGGCAATGTATCTTGACTCATTATTATGACTCAATCTTTTAATTTTTTTTTCTCTCTCTTGTACATGTAAAATACACAGACAGAAAAAGGGGTGCCATAGGAAAGACAAAAGCACTAACAAAATACTGATTCATTAAGTACCACAATCAAATAATAATTTGGTTTCATACTTAATATGGCTCACTACAATAAAGTGCAATGAGATCATATACTCTGCATTAGAGAAAATTACTTGGACAATGCCTCCCAACTCCAAAGTGGGGGCAGAGAGCACTTGAGGGGGCTGAGGAGGAGGACATGAGAAAGGGTGTAACTCCACAGCTTCAGGGGAATCCCTTGATCACTGTCAGAAGTATGTACATTGGCAGACTGTTCTAAAAGAGCCAATAATTTAACCATAATAATCTTGGCCTTTAAGAAAATGAATCATTAACTGCACAGTACAGATTTTTGAACTCCACTATACCTAGAGTTTTCAACTGCAGCAAAACAATACTGAGTACAGATTAAAAAAAAGTATGCAAATATATGACAGGCATTGGAACTGATGATCTTCAAGGTCTCTTGCAATCCAAACCATTCTACAGTTCTAGGAATCTAACTGCAACTTAATAAGCAGTGGTAAAAGACATTATTGAGAAAGTTTAAGTATTTTAAAGGGAAAGAGACAAAATGTAAACCTTAACATTCTTCTCACTACACACTACCAATCCATCTTCTCTTTCTCCACCCATTCCCCAGCATGCATTAACACATATTCCTTCCCTCTTCTTCATCACTGATATCAGAGCAAATGGTCATTCTGAACAGTGTCCTAGATAATAATTTTAAAAAATTATGCCTGTGTAGCAGCTTGCAGTCAGAGAAGTCACTATCATCTCACTACCCTGTTCTTTAATTATCCTAAGGCAGATTTAAACTACCACTACCCATTCATTTGCACTATGTATATGCAGTGTATACAAAGTCAGTCTGAAATAAAAACATGATACTATGGACAAGGACATCAGTAACCCATCTCCACGCAGCCTAGTCATAAAGTACACAATCCAGTGGGAGGAACCAGAGTTACTATGAGGAAGCAGAATTCACACAAACTTAGCAATCTGTTTCAGAACTGGAGTTAGTGATAAACGCAAAAACCTACAAGTTACAGGAAAAGAGGGCTCATAGCTATCATAACAATTAACTTGTCTCTATGTTTTATTAGAATTATTAATTTTGTTCAGAACATTACTAAAAGTTAATAGAAATCTATTTAGTTTACATAAACAGTTTGGAACTCCATAAACTTACAAATTTCTAGTTATTACATTTAAACAGTTTGCAATGATAAATCTCTCACACTCAATAAGATTATTGCCCACTACACATAATTTAATCTCAATTTTGACTGGGTCTTCAAGAACAAAACAAAAACCAAAATAACAAAAAAAACTCCAAAACAAAAAAAACACAAGTATCTCTACTGCATGTTCCCTACAAAACAACTTCTGAAGCCCCTATTCAACTTAAACCCAGTTTGACACCTCCAAAAACAGGAGAATGGACCAATGGAGTAGATCAGCATGGCCCTGTATTTGCCTCCACAAGTACAAGGGAAGGGACAGCAAGAGGCATCCCCAACATCACTCATTCTGATGGACAACAACCAGCTCCAGGTAGCACACTTCGAGTGGAGAGAACAGTAGCCCAGGCAGGGTTTGGGTTTTTTTCAGCCACTCAGCAAGCCAAAATGCACAAAGGGAAACTTCAGTGGGGAACACAGAAGAGATACAAGGAGAGAAATTAAATTACTGGGGACAAAGGGAAGAGCAGCATGGCAATAAGAAAAGGGTAACTGCAGTGCCACAGTCATAGAGACTTCTGACAGAAATCTGTGCAAGTCCTACACACAGTGGGGGTTTTTTGTTGTTTTTTAACTCCAGTATTCAGGGAACTTTTTGTTTGTTTCTCAAATATTAAATGAAAATACCCAGGGGGCAAACAAATTTAAAGTAAAATCTTTTAAGGTTAGTTCCTACATCCTACACTCCCCTTGTAGCAGAACCACTGACAGGACTGAACTCCACTGACTTCAATGCTCTTGAAGCATTAACTTTATTCATTTATGAAGCCATTGGCAGGACTGGAGCCAATGTTATGGGTATAACACTTAGGCTTCAACATTAGCCTGACTATTGCATCAGCCATGCTATTTTTAAGTACAATTCAGCTTCTCTTTCACAATCTGATGCAAGCCTATATAGTTTTTAGTTTGTTTTTAAACACTGTTCCAATGCAATTTTGTTCAATGCTACCTTATTTGCCAAATATTTAAGAGCCCTTCCAATATCACACATCTACCAGTGGGAACATTCAATAACAGCAAGGATTACTATGCTTGACAAGAGACCTGCTAATATTAAAATCTATCCTTCTAAATAATATGTAAAGCTGGCAAAAAACATTTTTTATCATTACTTCCATTTTACTACTTGTAGGTCATATGAAGGACAGTACAAAAATGTTTGACATCATTGTGCAAAATACTGAAAAGGCATCACAGGTACTAAACCTTGAAACCAAAACTTTTCTAACAGAGACACACAATAAAACAAACATAAGAAAGGCACAAGAATTTACAATGAACGTTTTGAAAAATCAGATTATATCTAAGTTTAAAACAATTAAAGAGTTTTCAGTCTTAAAAACTTAAAACCACTTCATGCTTTTTTATGCTGTTTTTTAAAGAACCTGATAGTTGAATTTACAGCTCAAAATTTTAATGTAATTTTAACTCTGAATTTGCACATGCGCTTTTTTGGATGATCAATGAACACATGAGCACTTACCAGAGCTGGACATCAAGCATTTAGAACAAATTAGGCTCTGTCAAGAATATTTTGCAACAGATATAATTGTTCTTCCTCGCATTTGTTTTAATTGCACATACTGGGGGAAAGAACATTAGGTTCCCAGTTCTCAAGTACCCAACATTTTAGAAATCCCTTCCTCTTTAACCAACCAAAGCACAAACATTTTGAATGTGTTCGCCGACTGCAAATAGTTTTGAGTGCCCAGTTTGAAGTATCCTTGTCCCAGTTTCAGGAGCATTCTTCCTTTGAGACCACCAGTATGAGTGTGTTTTAGAAAAATATGAAGTGAGACCTAGTCTGTGCTAGAATAAGGATCACTCAAGAAACAGCATGAAATAAAGGATCAACTAAAATCAAAGTGGTTTTATTAGAATGCAATCCTGTAAAAAAAAAAAAAAAAAAGAAAATGGAATGCCTTGGTTTTGGTTCACCTAACACAAACCAAAGTCTGAAATACTTCCAAAGAAGCAAAACCACATTTATGAGACATTTATGAAAGGTAGAGCAATACTCTCTCAGAACTAAACAAGCTCAGCTAAAAGGTTAGTTAAAAAAAGACGAATTTTGGAATTCTCAACTTAACGCTGCAGAAGAAATGCAACAGAATGTCTTAGGCAGTTTTGCTGAGGTTTCCCCAGTTCCTATACTGTGTATCTAAAGAAGTGTCTTCATACAGTTTTCAGATAGTTTACAACCTCAGAAAACATTTTAGAGTCTGATTTGTCAGGTAACTTAACTCAATTAGGAAGTTAGAATCATTGGTTTATTTCTCATGCTAACTTGATCCTTAAACTTGCTTTCATTTTCATCAAGGCACACTCGGGATGATATCTGAAATATTGGCAATTTCTCAGCCATAACACTAATATATCTTAAAAACACATGATGGGAAAACAGGTTTATCATTTGTGAAACTTCTGATGTCATCAGTCCCCAAAATAGAGAACCTGGCAAAGAGAAGACAGACAGACTTACAAATACCCACCTCTCCTGTTTCTTTTAATTCTTAACGCCCAAGCGTTTTGAAAAAAGTTTCACAGATGTTCATGAAAAGGTAATCATCAGGTACATGACCTGCTGTTTGAAGAGGGACATGCAGTTGCAATTCCTCTACCTTTGTTTTGCCTCAAGTTATCTACCAAAGCCATTTAGCAATTCAACAAACAGGAAAAAGAATGGTTTGAATAAATCTGAACCAT